CTCGCCCTCCCCCCAGCCTGCTGCTCTCTCCAATATTTCCCTTTTCTGCAACCTTTTCTTCCTCCTCCTCCCTCCTTCCCTTCCCCATCCTCCTCTTCACCTCTTCAGCCTCTCCAAGGCTGTCTGTCCTCGAGTGGCAGACTCGACAAGGCCACGTTGTACGGCCGATTCGCTGCCTGCGCACCCAACGCTGCCTGCCCAATCACTCCGTGCCGGATCCAGGTTCCCGTTGGCTGTCACATTCTGCGCCCCCAGACCGGATTCCCATTCGATCAAGTCGTGTGCAGCTTCCGTTCCCAGCGCGTCGGTTCGGGTCCTGCTTGACCGCCAGTGAGGAGTCGTCGTGACGCCTGCCCTTTTATTCTCCGGATGTTGCACCCAGCCAGTCAGGAACTGTGCACGTCAGTTTGATTTGCTTGGGTTGTGTGTGTTTGGGATCGATCAGAGACTGCTGGAACGCTCAATTGAATTTCGACACTGCATCTGTTCACCTCAATTCTGATCTACCACCATGTCTCAACAACGACAATCGTCCGAACGCCCCAGTACCGAGAGGGAGAGGGAGGGCCTCTCCAAGTACGTGAGGCGCATGAGCACCATTCTGCGCCGGGGTTCCAAGCGACTGTCCATCACCAGCCTTTCCGACATCACGGGCGGCGAGTCCAGCAAAGCTGCAGCGTGAGCAATGCCATTGAATCCGCCCGTGCGAGTTTGCATACTGATCTGAATCTGCCTGCAGTAGCAAGAACAATACGGCGTCCACGCCGACCACCAGCAAGCCGGCTGCCACCACGACTACGACGACTGCGACCACGACTGCCCCGACCACCCAGCCTACTGGCTATCGCTGGAGCGCCGCGCAGCAGGAGAGGGCTCGCGCTCTCTTTGCCAAGTACGGTCTGACTCTCGAGCCTGAGGAATGGATGTCGCCTCGCAACTTGAATGTTGAGCGTGTCGAGAAGCCGATTCGCATGAGGGTCCGCCGCACCTGCCACCGCTGCCAGACCACCTTTGGCCCTGACCGGGTCTGCGCCAACTGCCAGCATGTGCGCTGCAAGAAGTGCCCTCGTTACCCGCCTGCTCGGACCAGGGAAGAGAAGGAGGCGAGGGCCAAGGCCAAAGCGGCCGAAAAGGCCAAGGCGGCTGGACAGACCATCGCGCCCGAGCCGAAGAAGAAGAGCAAGACTCCTCAGCTTACCATTCCGTCCCGGACTGGCGGCCAGGATCTCGTCCGCAAGCCGATCCGACAGCGAGTTCGCCGGACGTGCCACCGATGCAACACCTTGTTCATTGGCGATGCCAAAGAGTGCACCAACTGCCACCATATCCGGTGCAAGAAGTGTCCTCGCGATCCGTATGTACCGGCATTTAGGTCGACATGAAATATTATACTAATTGACTACAGGGCCAAGCTTCACAAATATCCAGATGGCTATCCAGGGGATGCCGATCCGCCGCCAGAGCCTCGCCCACGTGTCTGGAGGAAGCCACGCCGCCGGGTGCGGTACATCTGCCACCAGTGCTCGACGTTGTACAGGCCTGGGGAGAAGACATGTTCCAACTGTGGGCAAGAGAAGGGGCCAGATACAATCCGAGACCCGTACGTTTCCACTGCTTTTAGGACTGTGGGATTTTCTACTGACGTGTCTGCAGGCCGAAGAAAGTCAAACCGGAACCGGATCCGGAGATTTTGCGGCGTGTCGAGGAGCGGCTGGCGCAGTTGTCGATCGACACAACGTGACGGAGCGTTGGTTTTTGAGGTGTTTTTTTTTTCGTTTGCTGCTTACATTTTGCTGTTTTCGGAGCCAGTTACCACCGTCATTTAGCACTACCGTGATTGCCTGTTTGAGCATTGCTTCCCCTCCCTGGTATGACCCTTGTTGATGAAAATTACGAGCTGGAAACCCCAAAAAGACAAGCTCTCCTGTCGTCACTCTTTCTGAGAACCCCCTGCGTTGCATAGCATTGATTCATACATACATTTTTTCTGTCACTTGCGAGATAATACTATTGATACCTGGCGCATGTGTTGGATTGGACTATGAGTTGTGTTAGGTTGAACCAATCAAGGGCATAAAAAAAAAACAGAACTGAGACTTGGCTGTCTTCAAGTGCCGTGAATTTACCCGCGCTCTGTTTAGATGATACGTTCGGCAGTAGGCAAGGGACGTTTGATCCGACCGATTGAGAACCGACAGAATGGAACGCACTGTGGGTGGTGTGGCCACTGCCGGATTTTGGCTGGACGACTGGTCATCCGTCGCTCTGCAACCGACGCGGCGACGCCAGCTCGATGGACAGGACTGCGTGGCGACTAAGCCTGCAATGGCTAAGAGGCCGTTTGCTCCCGGTGCGGCGGATCAGGTCGACGACGGTGGTGTGAGGGCATGAATCATGAAGGATGGGCATGGTTATGGGGCGGTGCTGCAAGCCTGCAACCACGAGTCAAGACGCAGCGGTCTATAGGCTGGCAGGCTGCATCGTAGTTGACGGAGGTCAGTCTAGATTCGGAAATCTCCATCACTACGACAGCACTTCGACAGTGACAGTGACAGGACGATAGGACGACAGCACAGCGGGATCGTCATCCGCACCATGCAGGAGGAGGAGGAAGAGGAGGCGGGAAATCCATTAACCTATCGACAGGGAGAAAGCTGAGAGTTACCGAGGAAAGGCTGGTAGCAAATGATTGCCAGCTGTCAGCTGAGGCGGCCCGTTGGACGGGCCGAAGCTAGCAGAGGAAAATCAATGGATTCTATTCGTTGGAGAGTATCCAGCGCTCCACCCGCATCCGCTGTCAAGCACGCCAAGGATCCATCCAATAGCCCAGGATCCCCTAGGGGCAATCGTGCATGGACGTCGGCAGTCGAGGGCGTGGCCGTTCCGATGGAAGTTAATCTGGGATAGATAATAGTAATCCTTTCAGGGGTCCGATAATAACAATATTATAATATTAGAACTAAAAATAATACGGAGTAATGTTGATAAGAAGGTGAAACTCCGCGGCAGAAGCAGCATGGCGGCCCTGGCCGTCTCATGTTTATTGCCGTTGGCGCGTGTTAGGAGGACCACCAGCGCTTAGTTAGTTACCTTAGGTAGCTAGGTACCTTAACTAAGCGGAAGAAAGGATAAACCGTCCACTGAGGTCACTCCGCCCCCTACGGAGTACTCCGTACTCCGTACGGACTCTGTGTACTCTGTACTTCCATTCCCCATTGAGATTAGGGTTATTACTCCGTTCTCCGTAGAGTCGACAGGCTGACAGTGACAGCTCTTGAGACAAGGGCTCAAACAGACAGCTTCGAGCCTTGGAATTGAAATCGGGATTATTACCGAGGTAGCTGTTAGCTATTAACTATACGGAGTAATAATAATTCTTATTTTTATTTTATTTCTATTTTCCATTAATTGTTAATAGAGTAGATTATTAGGAGCGCATGCACCCCTGGAATAGAACTGGTAATAATATTATTGCTTATAATTAGGATCTCCTCGTATCCCCTTTTTTTTGTTCTCTTCCTATTCTTTCCTTTTCTCCCACTGAAATAATCAGTACGGAGTACTCCGAAGTTACTAATACTACGGACTACGGAGTAAATAATTACTAACGTACTACTACAGGATTATTAATCTTTTCTCATCGTCGTACACACCTACCTACGTATGTATCATTCCCTGCTACGGGTTAGCTGCTCTGACTATTAAAACTGCTAGTTAGGTAGGTAGGTACCTGACCTATGCTATACTAGTACCAAGTAAGGGGGTTAATTAGTTTGGGTAGCCTCTACGGCGTCGGCATCCTAACTATTACTCCCTATCTAGTTAAGTGGCTAGCTAGCTAGCTAGTTAGTTATTAGCTACCGACTACCGTCGGTTAATAATAATAAAAATTTTTTCTTCTCTAAATTTTTTGATTGGTCGATTTTCTTTTTTTTTCTTATATTCCATAGACTCATGCTTTTTTTGATTTTTTTATTTTTTAAGCTTATGTCAATGGGACTTGTGTGATGTCATCATCGATGATCAATCGAGTTCACTCCGTACCTAGTACTCCGTAACGTACAGGACGGAGGATTGTCGCCCGACTGGAGTCTGTGGACCTACCCAGGTAGCTACCTCCATACTCCGTAGAGTACGGAGTACGACTACCGAGGGATCTGTACCGTCGAGTACCGACAGAGTCTACCGATTGACTGACGTGTAGATAGATAGTTAACTATGATATGACAATGGAGCATGGAGTACTCTATACTGTACGGAGTATTTCGTACAGAGGACACGATCTAATTAATTTAATTAATAATACTGCCGTTTGTTAAGCAGACTATTTCCTCGGTACCGGTGTGGTGCGATGTCATTTTTTTTTGCTTGCTTGCCAGCTGCCAGCATGCTGGGTCCGTAGCTACTGGATGATGATCCAGTGGAGAGGATGTGAAGTAATAAGAGACTTTTTCTCAGTCCTAAGTTTTGAACTTATTACGGAGTATATACAGTACAGTAGCTAGCTCAGTATCTAGCTGGATAATAGCTGGATAATAGCTACGGAGTATTTGAAGGATGATTCCTTGACAGCTGTACGGAGTACTCCGTAGAGTCCGTACAGAGTACTATTAACTACCTACGAACTCCAAAATCTAACTAAGTTACTAACTAGCTAACTTGACAGTTAACGGCCACTGCAATCTCCGTACAGAGTAGAGAGTACGGAGTACTCCGTACTGCACAGGTAATCAGTCAGAACCTTATCCCAGTAACCAGGACACGTACCCCTACTCCGTACTCCACATCCCTGGCAAACCCGACAGTCTGGGTCAGGATCCCATAGTGACGCTCTTAGCTCTTTTCCTAATTAATTACCTGGTTAGACCGTTAGTTATTTAAGATGGATGATTAATTAATCATAGGATTATGACATCCCTGCACTCCGTAGGAGGACGGAGTACGGAGCACTCCGTACTTAAGCCTTAACGCCGACGAAAAACGTTCGGAGATAAATCCGCAAGCAGCAAACGTCATGTCGACTGGAACCTTTTCTGATTGATTGGAATGCTTGTCCGTTCGTTCCATCTGCGTGGTTTTCGTTTTTTTTTCTCTTTTTTTTTTCTCCACAAGCATACCACACCGGAACCCACGCTGGGCCACGCACAAGTTTTTTGGGTCGACCGACCCGTTCGAACGGCCCGGACCGTTGACCCACTGGGGCGGCGGGCCAGACCGGGGCCACAGCCCACAGGCCACTCCCGACCGGCGACCGCCTGACTGGGTGGTGGGCGAGCGCTTAGTTTAGGTAGCTGGCACGCTACAGTGCTACACGAGTCAGTGGTCAGTGGTCCTGAGTCCTGCCAGTGGTGGCTTGCTTTGGCTTGGACTCAGTCGAGAGAGAGACTGCGTGACTCGCGCAGGACGGTAGAACGAAAATCCCTCCCTTCCTCCCAATATCCACCGTCTGATCATGATCGTGATCGTCATGATGAACATCATCGGCATGAGCTGGCGTCTGTGCTGCCGGTGAGTCAGGCAGCAATTCACTCATTGATCGATGATCGCATTGCCTCGCTGTCAGTGTCGGCTAATAGCCTAGGACACTGCTACAAGCGCGTGCACCGCTTAAACGGTTGAAATCTCTGCAGCAGTGCAGTCACTGCAGTGCCTGTGCGAGTGGCAGCTTTCCCCGCATTGAGCTCAAGCCCCGATTAGTGATCACGGCACACCCTCGTCTGTTTGTCAGTCAGTCAGACTTTTACTCCGTACTCCGTACTCTTGTTTGAATTTGGCATGTTACACAGCGTCTGCAACGTCTTCGGAGGTTAATTGAGTTGGTTGACTGATTAAATTGAATTGAATCGACTGGACTGTCATTGTCAGTAGTGATCATCTAGCGAATTGCATTGCACTGCAAGCAAGTATTAGTAATTATTAGTAATTTAATTTAATTAAAAACACCTACGCATGCGCCGCGCTGCGCTGCACGTGCTGGCAAGGTAAGTAAATAAATAAACAAACAAGTAAATAATAAATAACTACCGCCAGCATCACCCGAGTGCAAGATTCAAGTTTAATTGATCAACTGCTTGACACGGGACATCGTATGTCTTCCCTCTGTAGATTAATTCTTATTGCGCTCTGCATCTGCATCTGCGTGCATGCATGCAGCTACTCTTCCCGTCCCGTCACCATCATCGCCAATAGGATGCCCTTCCAACCCGTCTGTTTCCACTTGCGCGTGCGTGCGTGCGTGCATGTAGTTGGGTAGTTGCCAACTTGTCATCGACAGCACTGCATCGGAGTACATACTACTACGGTAGGTAGTAAGTCGTAGTTCCTGCTGCTGCTGCTGCTACTGCAGCCGGCCCGACGGAAGAGCATCCCCGTGAGTTGTGATTGGCTCTGTTGTAGGTTCCTGTGTGTGACTGCATGGATGGATGGATGGATGGATGGTATGGCATGACATGGCATGGTATGGTATGAGGAGAGTTCTTCATCGGCTGCGGGATTAATCGAATCTAGAATACTGTACGCATGTTTAGACTTTTGTAAAGAAAATCATTTTCTCATGGCAGGTTTGTTTGAGAATTGTTGTTGATTACAGATCGCTCTATTAAGTATGACTTTTCTCTAGAAGAACTATTAACTAACGACCATGGAAGAGTCTTGATTGATTGCATGAATTAATAAGAATGAGAATAGAAATGAACACATATACTTTAGATAGAATATCGAACTACAGCTCAATAGGACGTATTTTCTTTCTGCGACAGATAGACAGGCAGACAGACAGATAGACAGCATATCGAATCAACCTACCTACTTACCTACTTACTTACATACGTAGTAAATAATATCCCTCATCACAATCGTCATCATCATCGTCATCGTTATCTTTCCCTTTTTCGAGAATTCTTTTCTTTTCTTTTCTTTTTTCCTTTTTCAGCTCCCAATCCCACCACCACGGAAGCAAATAGGATCGCAGTCCGCATTTCCGCTGTTCCGCGGGGGAGGTGAGGGGAGGGGGCACTGTCAGCTTCACAGCGATTCATTTCTTTTCCTTCGTTCTTTTCTTGAAGGTTCTTTTCTTCCTCCCCGATCCGACGCTTCCTCCCTTCCCCCCCCTCAGATGAGATGTTTGTTGTACTATACGCACGTCTTTTGGCCCCCGAGTCGATTGACATGACATGACATTGACATGGCTTGGCTGCTGTACTCTAAGATGCCGCTGTCGTCTAGTTGTCTACTGCATACTACTTACTGCGACGGGACGAGTAGGTGCTTGCCTACATACGTACTGCCTATCTAGGAAATACCTCCTATCTACCTAACGTATCTATCTATCTACGCAGGTAGCGGAATAATACTAGCTAAGCTAACTCGGGGTGTCAGCATTAACTTAGATAAGGGAAAGGCCGTAAGTTCACCGTATGTATACCTAGGTTAGTAGGTAAGTAGGTAGATGGGTAGGTAGGTGTACTGCAGATGCTATCTATCTATCCACTTATTATCATTTATTGCTGTCTGAATTCTTGCGAAGGAGGTTATTATAGTGTACTGTACAGTACATACAATAGAAAAGTCTTATATACGTGTCTGGGAATAAACGAGGAGGATGGGTACTGGGATGAACGAATAACTGAGAAGATATCCTTGATCTGATCTCTGCTCAAGTAGACTAGATACAATATTGTAAGGATACCAGTATGATGGCGACATCTTGGAGTCGCTCGATGACAAGAGTAACAGAGGGGAAAAAAAGTAGTACAGTACATGTATCTTGTCCTGTTCCACTCAATTTATGACCTAGGTACAGATTCGACAACGACAGCCCATCTCGACAACGGAACCGCATTCATCTGTTCGATACGTATTCAGATAACCTTCCATGCTTCATTTTGCCGTTTTATACAGATCATATGCAGACAGCAGAATCGATAATTGTTACTGACAGACAGAGATACCATGCAAAGACAGTGAATCGACTGCAATGACTTTCTGCAAATGAGATTCGTTCCAATGACATATGACCTGACTTCCGTTCACACAATAAATTCTTTCCTTGCTTAGCCTTTCAATTGCGTTTCAAGAGATTGGAGAAAGATATTGAACTTGAAGAGAGAATTGGCGACACATTGCAAGCGAATGCTGGTCGACCGTCAGAGCGAACCACGCTTCGCACGCTTGCTTGCCAAAGTCGAGTCCTGCCGAACTCTTCGCTTGTCACTCTTTCGAGACGCTCTGTTGCAATGCTCACATATGACGTAGTAAGTGCTGCTAGAGGAGTGATAGTCGAGAGTCCTGAATTCTGGAATTTCATCCCCAACGAACGTAGTAGATTCCCACTCGAGGCAGTCCTCACAAAAAGCGCGATGGCAAGAGCGACAACAGAAAAGCAACCCACCGGCTTCGCTTGCAGTGTGCTGACAACTACAGCAGTTGTGCTGAGAGCACAAATTGCGCTTGACGGGGGTATATGCCGTCGATTTGGCTTCGTGTGATTTCACGCACTTGACATGGTAGACGCGGGGACACGACTGGCACTTTTCGAGACGATTACACTTGCCACAAACCAGGCAGGTCTATCAATGTCAGCATACTGTTAAATGCCATACAGTTATGTACATACCTTCTGATGTCGAAACGGAGGCCTCTTTTCTTTCTTCGGATCAGCAAGACGAGGGTCCTTTCCGGCCATCGTTGGCACGGCCTCATCATCTCTGCATTCCAAAGATTCCTTCCCTACGTGATATCCTGCTATTAGTACTGTCCTGTTCTTCCCGATTCGTCTCTCCGAAGGATCGAGAAAGGAAAAGAAGTCTTCCTCGATCGGTCTCTTGTGAGAACTCCTCGGGACTTTGACTCCGTTAAACAGACAAGTTTCGACCCTCTCCAGGCGTTCCAGCCATTCTCTCTCCTCGTCCTCCGTGATCGGGAACTTTTCCTTGTCTCTGTCTTCTCCACCCTCTGCCGTTCTGGCCTCGCATGTCTCGACAATCTTCTCCCAGCTCCATGACAGCATGTCTTCTGGGTCAGTCTGATCACAAGGCAGGGTTTGAGTTTGTCGACGGATTAACGACGCCAATGAACGGTATTCTGATTGGCATGGCTCTTCCGGCTCGATACTTTGAATGACCGTATTACTGATCTTTTCTGTGATTTTCGAAGAGAGGTAGAGCCTCTTTGCGAGCCGGCTCATCATCTGCTCCTCAACCGTCCCATGTGTACAGATCTTGTACACAGTGACAGGCTGTGTTTGCCCGATGCGATGTGCCCGAGCTTCCGCCTGCAATATCGACTGGGGATTCCAGTCGAGGTCGAGAAAAACCACTTCAGACGCGCTAGTTAGGGATACACCTTCTCCGCCTGCCCTAGTTGCGATCAAAAATACTTTGAAGAAAGGGTCAGTTCGGAAAAGGTAAAGGTAGAGGTTGCGCCTAGCAGCCAGGGTCGACCCATCGAGACGAAGATATCCGAATCTTGCTTGCTTTTTGCTCGCAATGTGGAGGAGATCCTCACAACCATTTAAGGCGTTATCAAAACCAGAGAAAATGAGTACTTTCTTCCCTTGGCCGATAACGAGATGCTCGATGAGCTTGTAAAGGACGACAAACTTCCCGGACGCCGTGATGACGCGATGTCCAAGGCGACGCTCTGAGACGACGTCTTCAAGAAGATAGGGATGAATGCAGCACTGGAAGATCAGTTAGCCCTTAGAAATCAGCTCACTTAGGTTTCACTTACCTTGCGCAGTTCCATCAGCACATTCCCAATGGCTCTCTTTGAAATTTTGAGCGATCCAGATGGTCTCTCAAATATCGAGCTGACGATGCTTGCCACCTCATCACCGTCATCTTTGATGCTGAACATCCTCTGAATCACATCTCTGGTACCTTGTTGCACTTCCGCTTTTGTGCTGAAAGAGGGCTCTTCTGGCAAAGATTTGTCAACGCCTGTCAATATCTGCTGATACAAGACACGCTAAAGTGAAGAAAGAGGAGCAAACAGAGTAATCTCCGTCTTAGGAGGAAGATCAGTCCCGATTGATGCGAGTCTTTCAGACGCCGCAGCATGATGACTTTGAGAAATTTTCTGACATGAAGAAGGAAGTCGGAGTCAACCATCCCTTCACTGAGGGAAAATGCATCCTTGAAGAGTTCTGAGGTGGATGGAATGAAGACTTCTGGATACAACCAGTGAAATATGGACCACAGCTCATGAAGATCATTCTGGATAGGCGTGCTTTAGGAAATGAACCCGTTAGCAAAACACAAAATATTGAAAGAACGAGACTGTGCTTCAATGAAGACCTACCCCGTGAGAACGATCTTGTGATCTGAGCGAAGTTTATGAACGGACCATGCGTTCCTCGTCCCGCTGTTCTTGATCCGATGTCCCTCATCCAAGACGATACAATTCCAGACACATGCTCGGGACAACCATCCGATGTCTTTGTTGAGCGTATCATATGTTGTAATGAGCACATCAATCGATCTCGACGATTTATGCCTGGCTAGAGAGTAACAGTCAGAGAAATCATTAAAGAAAATCTTGGGAGGATCCGGATAATACCTTTCATCATCATCCTGACCCTGTTTCTGTGTTCCGCAGAGCCATAGTACTCGACAACGTTGAGATCCGTCCATTTGCGAGCCTCGTGACCCCATGACCGCAGTACGGTCAATGGGCATACCACTAGAAATGGAGTCCGACTGGTCTGCTCGTTCTCGTTGGCATACTGGAAAAGCGAGAGTATTTGAAGGGTCTTCCCCAAACCCATCTCGTCTCCCAGTATGCCACCCGCGCCGTTCCTCCTTAGATAGACTAGGAAAGACAATCCATCCATCTGATGGGGTCGTAGCGCGGCTCGAACCCTATGTATTTGATAATCATTAATATGACATGATTTCAACGTAATGATAAAGGCTCTGACATACCCCATCGGTTGGCCTTGAATGGGCTCATAAGGCACGGTCTCTTCACTTTTGCCGATTGAGGAAACTATTTTCTGGATATAATTCCTCTCAGGAAGCAGAGGAAGGAAAATTTCCCTATTCGCAACGAGAAAGGCATTGCGTTTTTCTCTGATTGCTATCGAATCCTGACATGCATTTGGTAATCCTGGCCGTTTCGAGCGACCCCGATCGGCAGTATAGATGCACTGCTGGATGATGGGCTCGACGGGGGCGAGTCTTCAGGCGCAGTTGGGTCTTCAAGTCTTGTCAGCTTTGCTGAGGACAAACTATAGATCATACTCGAGAATTGGCTTACCATCGGTGAAGATGCCTGAGTCCAGGTCCGGCAGCTCGGACTCTGACGCTGTATCCCAACCGTTTGCAGACGGTCTGGTCGTAAGAATGTCTGTATCCATTGTCAGCTCTCTTATCTTCTCGATTGGATTGCTTTGAATTCGAAAAAAATAATAAACCAACCGCCGGGACGAGCTTACATCTCGGCAAAGAAAAGACCGTTGGAAAGATACCCCTGACATTTATATAGTATAGTATGACCAGGGCTAGCACAGGGAATACCATCGTTATCACTGCTGTGAATTCCATGTCTTCGACAGACTCGAGGAACTGTGTCGAAGCACTTATGGGATGAAAGACTAGTATTTGTGAGTCTAGACTCATAGTAGAAGGAAAACAAATCACTCACCAGTATACATTCATTATCTCTTGAACTACTTGTGGAAAGATTGTCAAGTTCAGTGGGTAGGCTGTGAAAGAGTTATGAGAAGATGGTGTGTGGAGGTTGAATGAAAGAAAGGAGCCATGGTGTGCGAGGTGGAATGGTCAAGGCGATCATGGTTGCCATGGTCGTGGACTCTTTTCATCACTCCTGATGATTATAGCAAGATTTCATGTGTAAGTATCTTCAAACTAAGCTGCTTGAAAGTACTAGTTAGAGTATAAGACAAAGATTGAAGCTCGTCAAAAACATACAATGTCTCCAGATGGATCGTTTCATGAAGCTACTAATTGTGGACTTTGATCCTGCGGCTTATCTGCTCCGTACCCGCACCCCTATCAAAATCAATCTTGTCATGCAAATCCACTCTACGTCCCAGAGCCCGTCGAATGATCCAATCCTTGCTGTTGACCTCTTCTTCGACCGCATCAGCAGGAAGAGGCGGGATGCGGCTGCTCCCTTCCAGTCGTTTCAGCAAGACGTTATCCTCCGGCCGCGAGAAGTAGACGAGACTATATCTCGTGGTATCGGCCTGCAGGCCAGGTGGAGAGACCACACGGTGGATGTTGGATCGAAGCAGCCCATTGGTGAATTTCACCATGGAATCGCCCAGGTTGACGATGGCATGGCCAGGCAGCGGTCTCACGTAACACCATTCAGCATCTTCGCCCGGAGGGAGAACCTGCAGTCCACCAAGACGGTTGAAAAGGATGGTGACGCTGCCAAAGTCTGTATGCTCTCCCAGCGCGGTGCGTCTGTCATCCTGAGGCTGTGGAGGCGCCTTGATGAAGCGTACCTGGTCTCCGCTTAGCTCATGGAGGCGATGGAGGTTCGGCAGCGTTGAGGGTGGAAGGCCTAAGTGTTCATTCAGAAGTTCTAGAATAAGGGTCACGATGGAGTGGGCTGTCTCGATGAAGGATTTAAGGAGTGGTCGATGCCGGGTCAGTAGATCTGGTGCTGGCAATGGTTCTGATACTCCGAGAATATCATCCTTCGAGACCTGCAGAGTGTTAGATGGCTATAGTAGTCATAGAGAACAAACACGAAACGGACGTTATAAAATTCATTCCGATCGAGATTCCCCTGTCTATCCACGACAGCGGCGCCCTGCGCCTTGTATCCAAAATACGAATTCTGCTTGCTAAAGTCATACTTCTTCTTCTCGTCCAGGTCGAGATTGAAGAGCTCTTCGCCGACTTTGAACAGCTGATCCGCATCTGCGAGGATCGATTCCCCCTGGTCTGAATGCCGAAGATCAAGGTAGAAGAACCCTATATCTTCACAAGTTTTACAAAACCTCTCAAATTCGTCTTTGTCACGCTTGAGGAGTTTCTCCAATGACAGACGAAGAAGAGGAGCAGTTGGTACGTCGTCGGGGAACGGTGGGAGATCAGGGAAGTTCTCGAGGGTCGCCATGTTGCTTCTTTCACTAGCGATGAGGTGCTATAGGATATGAAAGAAATCTTTCAGATGAGACCTTGATTCGAGTCATTCTGGCCGCTGACACTTTATATCTAGACCTAGGTATACTGTGCGGGGATCGGCATCTAGTCCGAGGGAAAGCAGGCTGTTATTGGAACCGGCAATGCTGGTGTTTGCGGGGCGTGGCTACACAATGCTCGTCCGGGGAAATCGGAGTTGGAGCTAAGCTTTTTCGCCTCATCACTTCTCCACGCCACACTTTTCTTGTTTTGGTTTGTGAGAACACATGCATTGTCTTTTCTCTAGTTTTTTTTAACCTCTATCAATAATTTAATTTTCAAATTTTCGACCTTTTCGCAGAAGGAACGACGATGACTTGTTGAGTTTCTGCAAGGGCTGCAAACGTCCATCGCACCCGCTTCGCAAGCTTCCTCTGCGCAACCATTGTTACTTCCATGCCTGTCGAGGACATTCTGTCTCAGTGCCTCTGGAATTCTGATACATAGCAATTTTGACTTTTGTCCAGCATGGCTTCTCGGACCCATATCGCCCACGAGCTCCTCCAGCGCGCTCACTCCCCCGACACCGCGAACCAGCTGTTCACCGAGAGAATCAAGCAGAAGCCTCTCTTCCTTCGTCCCACATCTCCCACACCGGCAGACAACCGCGCGCGACGACGCCTGCATCGCCTGCGCAAGAAGGAGTACTTTTATCGCAAGCAGAAACCGAAGCCGCTCTCCGCGCGCGAAAAGCGCATTTCTGGTATCTACGACATCCCGAAGGAAGAATGCAAATACGAGATCTTCAAAGGGCTGCACAAATTGTGGGTGGAGTATATGCAGGAGGTGTTGGATATCAAGGATCGCAGAGGCAATATTCCTCCGGTGACGGCGCAGTCACATGGTAGTAAGCTGGCCAGCGCGGATTTCCACGGCGCGGAGATCGAAGTCGTTCGCAGTAGGTGCGCCAGCAGGGTTGGCATGAAGGGCATCGTGGTCCGAGATACCAAGTTTACGTTTGTGGTCGTGACGGAGAAAGATGAGGCTAAGAGTGAGTGTCATTCGGAATTCCTGGGAGGTAATTCCTGGGCTTTTACTAACTGCATTCTTTGCAGCAATCCCGAAAGAACACACCATTTTCCGCTTTACGGTACCCATACCTACCAAAGATGAGGGCGAAAACACAGAGGGCAAGGCGTCTGCCAAAGAGCTAGTGTTTGAGCTTCACGGCAGTCAGTTTGAGAACCGCCCCGTCGATCGCGCCAACAAAAAGTTCAAGTGGAAAAACGTCGACTATCTTTAGTGACAGGCATGCAGGCAGGCATACAGATGGTTATATTTTAATCACTCTGAGCCTGGAAACCCTCTTCAGAAGGATCTTTCTCGCGTTCAGGATGATGGAACGCAGGCTCGATGGGAATTCCGCTCGTCTGTCTCTCCGAGAATCTCGATTCGTCGATTACAGGATATGTCTCGGGGCAGACATATCCGAATCGAAAGTATCCGCCATCAGAGCAGACTTTCACCGTCAGGCGGAGCGAGGAAGCCAGGCGCTTCGCAACAGCTTTACAACTAGGCGAAGCATTATACGCGGGACTATCGCGATACGAATAGTCTACAGAACCGACCATACACTTAACAGAAGATCGGCGTAAACATCATCATCACTACGATCGATCAATCCAGCCAAAAGGAGGAAAGAAAAAAAAGGTGAATTATTACAAGGACAGCTCATAATCAATCCCTCTATGTCTATCTATCCATCGACGACAGACAGCCGTCTGTCCGTCTGGCTGGCTGACTGTTCGTTTGGTAGAAACGTTACAATGGATGGATCCATATATGAATTAATTCCCTTTTTGAGAATGAGAATGAGAATTAGGGGATCGATCTTCATCATTTACGGTACGGACGGAAATATTGAAATAGACAAATACTATGATGGTCGAGACAATCTGTTTGTCAAGGGTAATTTATGGGTTTAGAGTAGAGACAGACAGATCTCTGTAGTCTATAGAGAAGAGGAGAGTTGGGAGACCTTGCTTATTCATGATTTAATGTATCATGACAATTGATTCAATTCATTGTTGGGTGCAGGTATCTACATAATCTGAGCTGGTTGTAATAATAATGAAAAAGATGCTCCTCGAGCGTTCCAATTCTGTACATCCAGACTTTGTGCACTGCTACTACCCATTATTATTGGGCCAGTTCTGAATAAGTACCACCGAATAGGTGGCGTGGACGCTTGTTGCTTGCTTTTGGATGTCCTCAAATGATTACCAGAAGCAATCGCGCATCGCACGCATCGTAATCTAGTGCTCGCGCGTGTATTACCCCTTATCAATCCTTGTCCTTCGATGTTAGTGCTGTTTTCAAGCACGGGCGCCAGAACCCGGACATCTGGCGTCATTGGACTGCGTAGAACTTCACAGTCGGGATTGATAGGCAGAGCCGTGGATTCGGGATTATCAGCTGCTGGGCAGCATGTCCCGACCTCGGGTTGCATATGCATCAAGTTGCAGAGCTTCTCACCATGCGTGTATAGGGTTGCTTTTGCATTTGCAGCAAAACTTCTAGGCATCGAAGAGCTTAGTCGACGAATGTAAGGAACGACTCTTACATCCCTGCCCACTCGATACTGAATGTCCGGACCTTATCGCCGGATTGGTCTTGGTCAGGTACCTCACCCCCCAGGAGGAATCCCTTCTTCACACCGGTGCCCAATCGGCCACCGGCGACGATCTCCATCAGGTCAAGCTCCTGGTCCCAGTCTGCTGCGACCACTAGGAAGTGAGAGTGAAAACGCAACGGGTCTCCAGGGTACGCCATATATTGACACCCGAACCGGAGACCCGGTGACAAAAAGTAGCCTTGTGAGTGCAGGTGAGCGAACAACGGATACGAACGTGGTACATCCGGGAGAGGCATGAGATACTCGTTGGGCACTTTGGAAGGCAACGGAGGATATGAAGTCGCCGGGGTGATGCCCATCGGCGTTTCTGAGGCCAAGGATGCTCTTAAAGACAGAGCACTGCCAGGCCGGGGAGAGTCCGCACCGAAAAGATTCAAATCAGAATCATCGCCAGCACTAGCCAGATCCTCAGAGGCGTCCTGCGGTTTCGAGGACTCAGCCTTTGCACTCTTCTTGAGCGCCTGCTTCTTCAATGCTTCTTCACGCTCCCGCTCCTTTCGTTCGGCTTGAGCTCGAGTGGCTTGACGTCCTTCACGCTCCAAGTCCTGCAGATAACGTCTTTTGTCTTCCTCAAGGAGCGCTCTCATCCCCAGATTGTGGGATTTGCCTTCATCGACAATGTACGCCACCCCTTTCTCTACCAAGATTCTCGCCTCTTCAGGCATTAACTCTAAAGGGAGGCCCAAGAAGACATTTTGCTGCGGCACTTGCGGCAGTGTGCCGATCAAAACGCCGCAAATGTGGTGCTCCCTTCTGAGATATGTGACCGCATCTACAGAAAAGAGGAGATAGCGACCCGAGATAAAGGATATGGGTATGGGGAGGTCGGGCACGACCGCCATTCTGTGGCAGAATTGTGAATGAGAGTTGGTTCCTATTGTCTTTACAAGATCCGAATGGTCAGCCAACAGGTTCGACAATGCAGTCATGCGCGAAAAAGTCGAGGAATATAATTATGGAGATCATTTTCAAATACGTTTCTCAATCACGGAATGCTCGAGTTGGGATATATATAATGAGCTTCAGGGGATTGACAGATTATGTATGGGTATAATCATGTGAGAGAATCTCTGTAGGAATAATAAAAATAAATATGCTTACCTTTCGGCCATGAAACGCAGCAAACCCTGGTTTTGACCTGCAAAGCCAGAGTAGCTTGCTGCGGAACGATGCTTGAAAATGTTTGGTGTGGTGGGAGAGAAAAAATATGCCCGCAGGTGGAGGAGACGATCGGACTTAACCTCTTTGGGCTAACAGCTCATTCTGCATCGGACTACGGCCCGCCCGCCTGAGAGACGGCAGTCGGTTCTCTGCTACACAATTACATGCTCGACTCCTGCTTGCCATTTCTCTCTTGATCTATCTCTAGTCTCTTCAATGAATTTCATATTACTCATGGGCCTGGCTTTTTTGGCCCGCTGCTGCTTTTCGTAGGTCAGTGTTGATCGCTTCCTGCACGTGGTTTAAGGTGTCTCACATCAGTATAGTATTCCTTGCGCTTTCATCCTGTCTTGGAGACGGGTTCCGAGCTCGACTCCGTCGAATGTCCATCCGCCCCGGTGTCGATGCTTATGCCTATGACAGACATTATCTTCGTACAATGACCAACCCAGGCTCTGCAATGTCTGAGCAGATCGAATTGGACGAAATGATCAGGGAAGAGCAATACGAGGACGAGCACGACCGTTAGTCGAACATCTCCACGAAGAATTCCACGATCGGCTCTAGAATTCAAGATCCGCCTTTTTTGGCATTGAGCTGCCGGCATTTCCCTGTTGAGCCTCCTTGTCTCCCTCCGCGGGAGGCAGACTGAACGGTTTAATCTCAAACTTCCGTCTGCTGAGCGTGAACGCCCAGTCCTCGCCGATATTCTGATCGCTTCCTCCTCCTCGTTCATGTAACACGGGAAGTTTATGTGTCTTTAGCATTCCTTGTGGGGGCTCCTCATGGGCGGTTGCGGCTCCTGAGGTCGCAAGCGCATCGGCTGAATGTGGGAAAGGACATAGCTCGATAACCCCATCACATAGCAGTTCCACCCATCGTACGAGACCCGTCGATCGGGGATAAAGAGACAGCGGAAGTGTGATCATTGCGGTAACGCGATGGGCATTGTTGGCCAGAAGAGCATGGAGTGAATGCATAAACTGCAAGAGATGTTCGGGCTGGCTGGCCTCGGGAGGATAAATGGTGGGGTTGAGCAGAGAGGGAATGAGAATTCGATG